GAATATGTACATTGCTTTACAAAGTGATCACTAGAAACCTTTAACAAAATAAAATCAGTACTGCATGGTTCATCATCACCAACGGCGAAGACAACCGTCTCGATGTGTCCTATTTTACACACCACAAAATGTTATACCCAATGAAGAGTGATAATCGGGAGTCTAAGCAAACGATTCCAGCTGCCGACGTAAGCGCAATTGTAATAACAATGTTCGGACTCGAAGAATCTGATCTTAATGACTCTGAGTTTCAAAATGTATAACTGGAGTCCTGTTTTTGTAGTTTTCCTGCACGTATGTGCACGGAAATCCTCCAGGTGTGAATTCTGTGTAGACATTTCTTTGTACGTGATGATTCTGTGAACGTACATACGTGTAGAGTATTTGTGATTATCTTGTTGTTCTAGGGCTAACATATTTTAAGATTTACCAACATAATGACGTCGTTTAGACTTTTAATAACTATTTCAACTTTGTACTTGTCGGTACTATGTGAGCTGAATGTTTCTGTTCTTAATATTGAGTGGACTTCACTTTCATAGCTTATTAAGAGCGTTTACCGCTGATAAGTCGTATTCCATTGTGAACATTATGTACTTATCGTATAACTTAGTTCATGCCTGATTTAATGATAATGATAATAATATATTTTTGCATGTCATTTTTACAGGCATGATCTACAAATTACAACATTTGGTGGCTAAGAGCCTGCTTCCCAACTTGCTAAGTTTATAGTTGTTATAAAGTGGACTCGTAAAGCGCTTGCTGTAAACTTGAAGAGACGCGTACGTCAAGTTTGTTCCAGACGTCAGAAGTTCCATAGCTGTGCCCTCACAGCAAGATTCTGAAGAAAGAAAAAAGAGAAACAGAAAAGCAGCAAGGCACTTGGATATGAACGCCAAACGTTGCTTAACATTTTGTAGTAGAACAGACAGAGGTATGATAAATAAGATTAAATTCATATTATCTTTTGTTAGGAGGAAATGAATTTAGAGGCTTCAGATGACAGAATGTGGTAATGAAGAACGATGAGTTTTGATGTTTAATAAGGTGGAGTAATCTCACATAAAGGAGGGGAAGCCAAGGTTGGTGCAAAGAAAGCTGTTTGTTGGAATGGAGTGTGCATATATAGAATTGAAGTGTTAGGAGTACTAAAAACTATATCTTTTATTGTCCATTGTTTATTTCTTTTTTGTCCATCCGATGCCAGCCACACAATCCAAGTGTAGAAGTCCGAGCTAGCATGTTATAAGTTGTTTTAGTAGAATAGATAATCCAGTATAAAATGGGAAACATGAGTCTGAGTGGTGAGCGTATTAAGACAATCTATATCACAGATTGATTGACTTATGCTCAATCATAGAGAGCCTGATACATACAAAATGTTCTGCCCCACAAACACGGGTGGATCGAAGTCATCGCCCTCATTATCAATGCTTGCTGGTCAGTAACTCCACCCTCCCTCCTTTTGTGATGTTAGGCTCAGTTAAGCTTATTTTTTTACATATATCATACTTCACACAGTGCTCTGTGTTTTACATCCTGTTGAAAAACACTGTTTCTATAAGTACCATTTTACAAGCTTATCAGGCAGTTACAAATTATGGACTGTGGGTAAGTCATCGATGCAATGCTTTAATTGACTATAGTATAAAGCATAGTTTGCCAATCAAAGTATAAGCATTAAAAAGGGTATAGTGTAGGATAGTTGTTTATTGAAGCAGGCGGAAAAGTATAGAAGTATATGAGTTGTAGATAAGGTCAAGTGTGGGGAAATAATACTGATTGCTAGTCAACATAGTGTAAAAAAGAGTAAAAAAGTGATAAGGAATAAACATGAAAAAACTCACACTAACTTGGTGCTGATGTTATTTTGTGTTGTCATAACAAGTTGAAGGGTAACGGGCTCCATAGATGCAAGACCACCAGTAGTAGGCAGTCGGTTGTGCGGTCTTCTTGACTTTTCAGGGAGGTAGTGAGTGTCCCTTAGCGACGGAGTTTAGTTGAACAATATCGATAGGTCCAGTGAGTTACCTGCCTACTTCAAGTGAAGAAATAGGGTGGAAAAAGTGACTAATACAACCGGAAAGTATGAAAAATAAGGCAACCTGAACTTGAAGTCCTTTTTGGTCTAGACATTTAGAGAACCTATGATGTCTGAGTGAGGCGCAGCTGTGTTCGTACATGCTAGGTCAGTGCAGTTTTACAAACGTATGTAATTCGTCTACCATGCGTATTTCGGTGGAGAAGACTGTTCCATATTATTACATGCTTGATGAGGAAAACTTTTTCCAAAGTTTTTGATCTGTATTTCTCAACCTTGACCGTAGATACTTTGTTTCGAAGTTAGTATTCATGTGTATCTGGGGCGAGAACTATATAACATGTAGAATAAGTAAGTTTATGGGTAGTGTGAAGTAGAGAATCAAATTAGACCTAAGTCTTCCTTTCCAAAGGGGTTCTATTCCTAAGATTTGGCATCGGGAACTGTAGTCGATGACCGATTCAGTTTTAAGTATTTTGCGAGTGAAGTCTCGCTATATTCCTTCTACCTTTAGTATATCAGATAGACGTATGCTGGAAAATAATGACGAGCAGTATTTATCGATAGGTCTTACACAAACTTTAAAAGAAGGATTTTAGATTAACTTTTATACAAATTACGGAGAATGAAGCCAAGAAATTCCTGCACTTTAGATGTTTTGGCCGAGTTTTTTCATGTTTATTCCTTATCACTTTTTTACTCTTTTTTACACTGGCGAGTAATAACTGGAGACACAGACTCAGATGCTCTTCAGGCAGACCTAAATAATATAATTAACTGGTCTGAAGAGTGGCTGGTGCCTATCAACGCGCCAAAGTGTATCTACTTCGGGGACTCAAATGTTAATAGGTATAACATAGGGGAAGTGCAATTACCAGATGTTCGGTCTCATAAGGATCTGGGGGTGACAGTAAACCAGGATCTTAAGACGACGACCCATTGCCGGGAGGTCGCAGCTAAGGGGTTTCGAACCCTCTGGGCATTAAAACGGACATTCACTAAGCTAGATACTATCATGTTCACCAAAGTATACACGTCCTTAATGAGAACTAAGCTTGAGAACTGCGTTCAGGCTGCAATCCCGTGTTTAAAAAGTGATTCGGATATCCTAGAATAAGTTCAGAGTGCAGCTACCCGTGCGATTCCAGAACTCCGGGGTTTACCATACAAAGAGCGGCTTGAAAAGCTAGATCTCTTCACACTGTCCTATCGCAGATTAAGGGGAGATTTAATTTTGATGTACAGTATACTGAGAAATGATTTTGGACCTAACTTACTCTCTCTCTCTTCCCACTAGATCGGGACATTTCAGAGGACATAGCGGGCGAGTAGAAAAGCCAAGAACGAACAAAATACCCGTGGCATACAGGTTCTCACACCGAGTCATCAATACTTGGAACCTGCTGCCCGAAGCAGTGGTGTCCGCACCCTCAATTGACTCTTTCATGAGAAATCTGGACACTCACAGAAGCATACTAGAAAAGGAATAACATAGGCCATAGGCCTTCTGTCCTTACTATACAAACCTAAATCTGAATCTGAAATACTAAAAGATTATTCAAAGGCAGACAATATGTAATAGCTTACAATCACAGATCTTGTATAACCGAGTTTTGGTCAGTAACACATTGTGCGTGAAACAGTTCTTAACCAAGGAGGATCAAAATCCCTCACACATGTTTAACTCACTTAAGGTATGTCGCAAAAAGGATTATGGAGGAAGGTATCCTGTCACACTTCGTACACCATACCGCATATGAATTCAAGAATGATCGAAGGACCCAATAAAAGCAGATCTCATTCTCGGCGTCAAAGTTCCAGAGGTTGCCGCCCGAATGAAAATATGTTCAATAAAACAGAGCAGGCCACCATAACGGCGAAATTCAAGATTATGGATTTGTACACGTCGACCCGAATAATCTTGACAGTTCTGTTGGTATCATTGAAAGTCTGGCACTGAAGAAACCACGTTTCCAAGGAAATGAGAAACGAGCAACCCTACCACAAGTCATGAGAACTGGGGAGAAAAGCATAGACAGTTGCTTATATTATTAGAAACATGAATTCTAGAACGAGCTTTCCAGTGGATACAGGTTGAGAGCTTAGTATCAATCCCTAGAAAAATACCAAACTGAGATGACAAACCTCTTCTGTTATGCTTCATGCTGCAAATTAAAGCGAGAGTTGTGACATTTAAGCAAAAGATATTGTCAATGAATTTAGAGTGCAAGTTGGAAGAATTTTCGGATATGGATTTCTACTTGGGACCAAAATACATCGTTTGACACACAGAAGACTTCCAGTTGTACAGTATGCAGGGAGATTCTTCATTTCTTTATATTCTGCACAACCCAGCTGTTGATAGCCGTAAAATCTTGGGACGAACCAGCGAAACTATAGAATTTAGACAAAGCAAATCTTCAACGTTCCAATAGCAACTCGTACAACTAAGATCGAAGGCGATCTCGTACGTGCGAAACCAAACAAATTAGCTCTCTAATAAACTTAAAAGCGCTAAGTAAATCCGACTACACGCTACAGTTGAAGGTTATCAGTCTTTGTGATAACGACTAGGTACCACTTCTACCCAGATTCCCCACGTAAAATCAGGGTGATCAATAATCTTGCGAGTACTAGAGCTCTTAGTCATCAAACTATGGCACACAGGTACCTAGAACTACGCAACCAAGGTCCCACAGACGGAAAGCCTTGTATTATATCTTGAAACTATCCGTTATCCGTGTCGACTGTAAACGTTAAATTTTCGTAGTGTATTAGTTCTAGTAGACTCTCTTTGGAACAAGAACCATCTTTCCACCGCACGTAATTTGTAATCACTATCAACTTTCTCAAACAAAACCTAATCTAATACACTTAACATATAACACCACTAGTCACACAAAAAACATGTCAGAACGATCATACAAAGGAAAGGAGATCAACTAAAAAGAAGTACTGAATGTGTTAGAAACTGTATTAATATTTTTTGAATTTGTGCGATTTAATCAAATTTACACGTATTCCTTTAACTTCACCAGCATATGGTTTGTCTTCTTTACGAACCGGCGCAACACGTGATCTGTAACGAATTGTTGCCTTACGGAATTTATGCCGTAAATGCACTCTAGGATTACGTTCACGTTTATGTCGATATTTTACAATGCCTTTATTTTTCATTATCTGGAGAAAGAAAGAAAAGACCTCACATCAAACTGGCGCAAAAGGAGAAAAAGATAAAACTGGCTGGGAAAAGACACAAAATGTAGTAGAATATTATGAAATAAAGTGTGACAGATCAAGAACTGTCCGATTGGAGTGAACAAGATATGATGGATCAGAAATGAATAGACGAAACAGGAAAAAATATCATGAGCTACCAACATTAGCAATACTATTATCACATTTAGTACTATTGCTATTGCTCATTCTACCATGAAGAGACCGAACTCTCCATAATAATAGTAATAAGGACAGGAAAATACATAACTCACCGAATGCCTGTCGGACTATTACAATTATAACTAAACAAACAGTCAATCATTATCATGGAGAATATCGATTTTCTGAAATGAAGATAATACAAAAGAATTCGCATCTAATCGCTGAGGAAATTGATTTGATTACATTCTCTTGAATTATTTTGAGGTGAAAAGTTATCGTGAAAACCACTGAATACAGTCGCCAAATATTTTGAATCCCCTGTTATATCAACTTCAATTTATGGGAATGAATAGTATCACAAGTTCACACTGGAAAAGTAAACGGTTGGGGAGTCCCGCTTATACTTATCGTCAGGATTTTATACGAAAAGATTCCATTGAGACATCAAGTAATGAAAAAAATTACAAATGATTCCAGCTAACCTCTTTGCTTATTGGTCGATTTGGTAGATCACGTGAGGACTGATCAGCTGCTTTCGGATAAACTGTGTCCTTTTTATTAGGCGCTAAAAACTGATCACTATCATCGTCGACTTCTGAAATGCTTCCGTCACTGTCGACATCAGATTGACTGAAACGTAAAGAAACTCACAATTAAGAAATACTGTTTATGGTATTTTATCAAGATGTGCACGATTGTTCAAACAAAGAAAAACTATCGAAAGTAGTATATGAACTTATTTTTATCAACACGACACTTTTTCTCTACATTCCTCAGGTCGAGTAATCTTAGTAATGACTGATTTCTAGGGGTTAAAGGAAGCTAAACCAATACATAGCGCCATTCCATGAAATAATTGACTTCTTTGACAGGGACCTCACAAAGTGAGAATTTCCTGAAAAAAAAACGGCGCAATGGTTGCGATTTGAGATATTGACTGATAAGGCAAAAAAAACTAGTTTCAGTGGCACGGTTCCGTCCACTCTTATTTTATATAGTGGATCGGTGGCTTAGTGGTTCAGATGTTCGACAGTTAGCCACTTGGTCGCAGGTTCGAACACACTTGATTCACCTACTTCAGTCTGAGCAGCGGAATAGTATCAATAACTCTAATACACAAGGTGTGACTGGAAGCCGAGTATACAAATCTATTCTTGGTAGATGATTTAAGTCACAAATATTTCGTACTCTTTACCCTAAGATAAATTTTACATTTACTTTACTACTATAATGGATATCATGTCATTTTTAGTCCTACTTTGCTTTGCATCTTTAACATTCTTTGCTTACTGTACTAATGAGGGTGTTAAGAGTTTCAAAGTTGTGTCGACAAGTACCAATTTTTGCACAATACAATATGGTGAGTACTTCCTGATTTATAGCAGAAGAACAAGTGGATAACTGAAATTTGAAAAAACCAATGAAGTGATAGTACACATAGCAAATTCAGGATTATATAATTAAACATCACCCTTCATTGTCGATAAAAGTACACTTCAGAGACGAGTTATTCACAATTTGGAACCTAATCTTTGGCTTTCTGCAAAAAATTCAAATACCATGTATAATAATCAGTGTGCGAACTCTTAATAATCCGTTTGGATTCTCCAGAGAATTTGACAATATGAACAACCTATATCCATAAGAACGAGTTTATATGTCGTTGCTTTTCTTTTTACAAGTAGAGTAACGTGTATAAGACATTAATAAAATCATAATTTTTTATGAAATCCGTTTATTTTTCGGAATAACATTGTTTTCTTTTCCACAAACTATCTACTTATAAAAGCTTATTCCTGGTTGGTCGTAATGTAACCTGAAGTTGATCGTGACTGTTTAAAGCTCGTCGCTATATCATGCTTTTGCCCTATTGTCTTCACAGAAAAAAGACAAAATTTCAATTACTAGTCTATAGTTGTAACCGATAAGAAGCAACTTTGGAAAAAATAGAAACAACACAGGATTGGCCACAAGGAGAGATGGAAAGATAAAAACAACGAGTTTCGATTATTATTATTACCTATCAGTATTGGAAAGATCATCGATTCTACGCAGTTCGTTAGTCTATAAACAATAATGGAAAGAAAACAGGAAAATATTGACAGAAGTTCGAAATGTTTGGCCATTTGACATCAGTTTAATATATAAAGGCGAAAAGATCGTTTCAATGTCTGAAAGCCTCCCTCTGATGAAGCGTACCATGTAAGATTCGCGTATTATAACTGTATTATTCGTAGGTAACTAGTTTTTATGCATGATTTCTCTCAGATACGTAAGTTATTCACATAGTTACTCTGGACTTATTTGTGCTGCAAGTTGGCTGTTATTGCTGGATTCATCATTTTGAATGTCAGTTATTTTAACAAAAGCTAATTATTACTTACTGTAGAACTATATATGTATATATTGTGGCCACCAACCAGCTGAATCCATATTAAATATTTGTTCTGCGTCAATCCCCTGTATGTTTAGATCAACTATGACCAAAAGATAAATTAAAATCACTTTGGTATGGAATAAGGATATTCCCCCATCGAAAAAATATTTTAAAGCTAACAGAGAACTAAAAATATCAAATCATACTGCTGATCTAATATCACGAAAGCATCTAACAAGTTATGCGCGCTTATTTGTATTTGAAGTGTTTTAACATGGATCCCAACAAACAATAGAGTTTAAAAAAATTTGGATATGATGAAATAGCTTATTCCAAAATTAATTTAGAATGAGATACGTTTGAACAATGTCTTTGAAGAAAATTAAGTACTGGATGGACCTCACTTGTGTTACCACAGAAATCCAGAGAGCATTGAACAGTTAATTCGGTTTACTATGGAACTCCACGGTAATGAATGGCTATGATCACTCCAGGAAAAAAAACCTAAGGCATCTAAGTCTCTTAACCAATGCTTAATCATTTGGCCACCCGGTTAGCACTCAATAAATTTACACGGTATTCTAAATGACATAAACCTATGGTAAACACTACATATAAGTTAAATCAATCTCCACGAAACTTTGATATATATATATATATATATATATATATATATATATATATATATATATATATATATATATATATATATAGAGAGAGAGAGAGAGAGAGAGAGAGAGAGAGAAGAGGAACTTACGGATTTCCTCTTCTGGTTTCTGGTATTCTTCACTTCATTGCCAGGTAGTAAGGCATGTAAACTGTAAATCGAAAAATATAAACGCAAATTAATCACCTGTACAGTCCACTGGAATTATTTAATTAGTTCGTTTGGATTTGTACTGCTTTGCAAACAAATTTAATCTAGTGATCAATTATCAACTCCTTTCCCAGGCACAGATTCGTGCCCCTCGGTTTCCAGTCATATTTTAAGTTTGAGGGCTAGTGATATTACCTAACTGTTCAATGAAAAACGGATAAAACAAAATGGTTTAGACCAGCAATTTAATGGCTGAAGGCTGAACTCTTCAATCACTGACGAAGTGCTTTATCTAAAATTGGCTGTAAATTAGGTGGAATTGGACAGATGATACGTCCTAATTTTAGACTCTATGATCAAGTATATCTGCGATCGAAGAGACAGAATAGCACCAAGCACCATCGGGTCTAGTTATGATATGAAAAGAAAGATATCATTTAGCCATTGAGTCAGAGAATTCAGCAGTTTGCAATTTTAACTATGATCGCTACGCGATCAAACAACATCCTTATATATATAGTTGAAAAATATCCATTCAAGAAAAACCTGTCCAACTCACCATTGTTCTCTCATACTTAAATCACTGATAGAAGAAGTGAAAGTAATTGGATTAAGAGAATACGGTCTGCCAGATGATAAAGCTTTATTAATCACTTGAATGAGACGATTTCCAATAACATTAAAATAACCAGCATCTTCACTTAAACAACCGAGTCTTTCCTAATTTTAAATAAAATAACAGGAATTAATAGGGTTGTAACAGTAATATATCGGTTTTAGTTGGGGTTATCATTGAAAAATAGCGGAGACTAAACAGATATGAGTATGTAGGATCTTGTTATGGATCAAAGATAAAACCGTCAAGTCTTGTGGCAAATTATTAACCATTAAGAACTAATGAGCCACCATCCAATGGTGCGTTTTCAGCTTCAATCAGTTCGCAATGTAGGACGACAATCATTAAATACTATTGGTGATCATTATTAATATTGCTCACGTAAATGAACTCCACCAGCCACGACTTCATGTCAGAACTTCAGGAACATATTGAAGTAAGAATGAACGAAAAAAGATTATGAATCGTTGGTTTACTGAGATGTTGACTGGTTAAATAAAGTACATATGGGAGTTATTTATAAAAGCAACACTATTTAATAGGGGCTTATATTTTAAATACCATTTCAATGACAGAACATTCCTCAACCGACTGTGCAATGGATGCCTAATGCTGATAAGTTTTAAAATAGAAAAAAACAAATGTTTAATGGCTCTCCGGTTTTTAATGATTGTTGTTTTACTTCAGTCAACTGCATGATGTAAACTATACATTGGACAATCTATATAAACATCCTTATTTTAATCAGTTTATTGTTTTTAATTTTTAACCTACTCCTAATAGAAGTGATTAGCTAGGGACGTTCATGACCAAGTGTTTTTGTTATGGATTAGGGCTAAAATGACAGTGATTGAGCAATTTCTATGTTCACATGAGTACAGATCTAAAGGAGTTAATAAGTAACAGATGATTATTAAACGATACCAAACACAAAAAATCAGAGGAATGAAAGGTTTTCATAAGACATTTAATATCACAAAAATAGGTCAAAATATGAATGACACTGTTAGATGGTTAGAGGTTATCGATGGTAAAAAAAAGAACTGACTAATCGAAGTTTCATGGTAGTTGGGATTCGTCGACACACTGTATTCGCAATGTTGAAGTATATGATGTCCTCTATGGGATTTGGACTAGTGTCACAAAGCTTTAGAATACAAGACAATACCACTACACAATTCGAACGACACTGTTTAAACGATTATTAATACATACTTATGAGCTTAAATTATCCCATTGTTGATATATATGACAGAATTTTAATCAGTCTTCATTAGTATATATGCACCCTAGGTGAGTGGCATCGATATAGCTATTTTGTCACAAGTTTCGGTTACAAAGATACGATAAAAGCTGTTACAAGTAAACATGAAAACAGTCGAACAAGCTAGTGGTTAAGTGGGCCTGGTAGACTAGTGTATAATGCATTGATGTTTGGATAAATAAGTAACGAGTCCGAATATGTGTGAAGATCAGCATTGGAATGCTGCTACATCTACCTGAAAGGTCGGTCCCAAATAGAACGAAACTCATCTGGACTCCACCCTTACACGCAAATTAAATATACTAAGATTAGTAATATCTTTCTAAGAGAAGATACACCGATTAATTTTACACAATTTATTAGATAAAAAGTCCATTATTATTTGATTGCCGTAAAAATCATCAGTGATATAATACCTTCTTACCTTGTAATGTTCTTCAAGTTCTCTATGTATAGGATTATGATGAAAAGCTGGTGTAAATTGTAGACGATGAGTAAAGTAAGTTTTTAGTAAACTGGCATATCTAAAAGAGTGAATTATTATTACTAAGAGTTAGTTGGTTAACAAATATTACATTGTTTGATGAATAGACAATTAAATAATCTAAGACATGAAGGTTTTAAGTGAGAAATGTTACGTCTATAAGGAATAAAATTGAAAAAATTGAATAGGATATGAAGTTTTACTAATCAGAACTGATGGGTGTAGGGTCTTATGCGTACTCATTTAGCTATCATCAAACTCAAGATATCATATTGAGCAAAGTAAAGGTTGCTTCAAAGAAATATTAGGGTGATAAAGAAAAGATTGTTATTCACATATTAAACTATAGGCCACCACCAACACACATAGTTGATTGACGAATTTATCGATTAAATGTTTAAAAGCTCCATGGCAATATCGATATATATATATATATATATATATATATATATATTTGTATATATACGTTTTAAAATTGTCTTGTAAAAAGGTTTGCTGGTTTTCTGGTTGTTGTAGAATATACTCTCATTTCAAGCCTGGACCTCTTCCTCTAGATAGCTGGGGCTAGGAAGCGTCCTTAGCTAGCTCACTGGTCGTTGGTCATCGAATCTCGTTCGCAATCTAAGTGAACTCGTTTAGCTTCAACCCTAACAGAAACCCACAACACCTACTTCAGTTCAGGTAGTTGGGTATTGTTGTGAGATTATTTTATTATAACTGCACTGCTAATGAGTAACTGGTTTCTTATCGTTGTATATATATATATATATATATATATATATATATATATATATATATATATATATATATATATATATATATATATATATATATATGCAGTCTTTTGACTTTATTCGACCCGTAGTAAGTTCGCCCGATGAATGTGACAAGTATCATCGGCTCTTACGAAAATATTTGACTAACAGTCGAGTACATAGAACGATAACTAGGTAGATAAACTACATGAATCGATAAGAGTAGATTATCACATACTTTTCATATTGTATTGAACGTTTTTTCAAATAAGTTACAGCAACACAATCCGAGGGAAGACCACGAATGCATATATTCTTATCCAATTTGATCCAATTATCATCATTATTACCTATGCCCAAGTTTCGTGTTAATGGCCTCCATTTCTGTTCTAACCAGCCGGTTACTTTATCTAGTTCACTAAACCAACGACCACAATCCGGATAGTTATCATTTAAATACTAAAAATGATGATGTGGTACATTTAGAACAAATTCACAATCAACAAAATTTATTGGTTCATTCAATTTAATATTATGGAAAAAGATTAACGAGTTGGCTTGTTTTTTTGATGCAAGAATAATTTGAAAATACTGATTGGTCTACTTTCAACAAATAGGGTCAAGTACCAAACATATCAGAACAATATAACTTGTTTTACATAGTACGGTAACAGGGATATAAGCAATCTAATACGAATGGTGTCTTTATTAATAGGTTTTGACATTTTCATCGACAAATGCTTAGCTGAATTTACTGTTGCGTCCTCAAGATGGTGTAGAAGCAAAACGTTCCGTGACAGGAAAGTGGATAATCAGCTAACTACCATGAGGTTGGTCAATCTGATAACTACGTTTGCCAACAAAAAAGATACTCTTATCTGACTCACGAAGCTAAGTGTTGAAGCCCATTCGTGAGTGTTTGTTACCCTACTGTTAATATTTAATACTGGATTTCCATAAATTTCGGTAGGTTTATGTGGATCTTGAACAGGTACTTCAATGTTACCTTTTTGTTATAAGTTTTAGTATACTAAGACTAAAGCTAAAAATAGAATCCAGGAAGCGGGTCTCGACCTATTTAGAACTTTTAGGTAAATTTGTATGCATCACAGTCCTGATGTTCACAATGAAACTTCAGACTAACACCAACCAGTTATTTATCAGGCTACTTAGTACAGCTACACACCAACTCTCTCAACGAGTAACGTTTATTCGTGTTTGTTCCATCTTATTGTTGATATGTGAACACCCACACTGAGAAACATTTACATGACAAGTTACAAATAAGAAAAAACGTGGGTTCTGGATTTCACAGATATGCCTAGTCCAAATATGAAACGTTTTTCACTGATTACCAAAGCTCTGAAAACATGTTATTTTAGTTTTTTCCTGACTAAAGTACAAACAATAACAGTCATAACGGAATAGAAAAAACAGTATACTATATACCTTTTGAATCAGTATTTTATCAGCTGATTTAGGCCAAACAAGTAAAGGAAGTCCATGAGACCGGAACATTGAAACTTCAGAAGACAAATTTTGAGGAAACGATGGAATACTGAGATTATTTAGTTTGCAAACAACCAAATCGACTTCAGTAGGATTGGAGATGTCTGAGTGATGAGAGTTATTGTACTTTTCACATGTTTTGAGTGAAAGTTCATCTAAATTTTGCTGTATATGCAGATGAGTTCTACTTTGATCAGTTATAACAAGAAGTTCACTTGCATCTGGAGGTGCGAGAAGTAACTGTGCCGACGATGATTTAAACAAAAAGGGAGGGTACAATGCTGCCTGCTTTTGTCGACAATCATTGATACAAAGCTTCTGAGATTCTATTTAAAATGTAGAAGTGAAAGCATGTTAAAAAGCATCCATAACACAAAATGATCAACTGTGAATTAAGCCCAATAAAGAAAAACAATATTTAGTATATGATATATTAATCATACATAATCGAAGAGAAAGGATGGTGGTTTCCCATGCTATACTTGGACGGTTTATCGTATCGGACATTGCGTATATCTGGATCTATCGATCATTGAGATGATAACATAATATAAAGTATAGTCACTAGAAAACAACATGAGCCTCATAAAAACTGCTGTCAACAGTTAATCATATATACTGATTAGCTTTTTACCTTTTAAATATCCTGAGTTTCTATTTGGAACAGTTCAGACCAAACTGTTGACACTTTTAACATAGGAAATGTGTTATTTGATATGTTCAGTATTATGATTAATTCTAATATTTCTTTATTTCTTTACTTACTATGGTGAAAATAATTAAACAATAAGAAGCATCATGGATAAATATAGGACGAAGAACCAGAATGAAAGGCGGGATGATTAAATTAATTATGCAAATAATGACAAAATGAAGGTCGACGATAATTAACGAAGATCAAGGTCGATAAGAAGATGTCAGTCACGTGGAAAAATTTGAATAATTCACGTTTATTGGAATTCCGTGCTGAAAATATCACGACTTCGATTTCCGAGTCTTGAAGTGAAGAAAATAATAATGCCCCCAAATGCCCTGGTACGGCTCGAGAGTGGGGAGAGTCCGCTCTCCCTCTCGAAATGCTCTCACATGGCCACGCGTATATAGCCTCTGCCAGGTAAGTCCTACTAACTGCCTTCTTGTGGCGGGGGTGTTTTTTACGAAAATGAGAGGACGAAAAGCGAATGTCCGGCACTTTAACCGGATCCTAAACTAATGGTGCACATGGGCTCCAGTATCCTGCGAGAACAAATGGCGTATGAACCAATAGTTGGTCACCGGCTCCCATGGGACTGAATCTCCTTACGGTGCTCCACCGCCTTGTGGGTCAGATCTTCAGGTCGAGGGCTCGGGGCATAGCCTCCTAAGAAAACCACCTGCTTCGGTTTGGGCACCCGGGCAATATCACAGCCCTCACACATCAAACGAGATCTGTATGGCGCATATATATTTGTTGCCCCCTTGTACCAATATCTATGTGTTAAAATAATAATAATAATTCATCACCCTTGTCTTTAATTTTGATGGCTAATATCAAAGCAGGGGTTAGAAGGATACTTCAAATTTGTTGTACCTTTTAACCAAGGTAAAGTATGAAGTTTTGGACAGTCATTGAGAAAGACCGGGCTGACTGATACGACTGGAAAAGATAGTGATTTTCGCCTACCAGAAATTGCGATTATATCTGAAGATTAGGTTTAAATAGACTAGGATAATCAGAGAGAGACACTAGGCTGAATTGCAAAGTTTTTGAATAAAATGGGCAAGCGGAGGCTTTATACATCATCAGGATGATAGAAATGAGTATTAAAGAGCAACTGATGATGTAGCTCAGGATTGATCACCATGACAATGCAATAAAATAGTAGTAATAAAACTCATTAGCCAATTACATGTCCACTTATTCGGCTTTTAATGACACAATGCCTATGGGGTAACGATACTGTCAGGTAAAAATATGCTAAACCGACCGTCGTTAATGTCCAGTCAAAGTTGGAATATCCTATGTCAAATATCAGCACGAATTTCACATGATATTGAGTACAGGTTGTTTATGGAGATCATGATTTCGACCATATCTTGTATTTTAGAAAAATCGAATGATGATTTCCTAAAGGAATGAAGTGTTGGGGTCAGAATTTTAGTGTTTGGAGTGTTAGGGATCCGGGCTACACAGCTGTTCAAACCCAAGTAGATGAATAAAGATCCGAAAGTGTGATGACATATTCGCCGTCATTTATATCGCACCATTTGAGGTGCATTTGAACCTTTTTTACTGTTTGATCTCACGCCTTGCGACGTTACTAAGTATGGAAACTTGGGTTTCATGTAATTCCATATAAGTTAAACATTGATACTCTTATCTACTCATGGAATGATACGGTATTGCTAGAAAAACTAGTGGAAGGATAAGGTCTGCTTATATTATTCCAAGAAGATATAGACAGTAATCAACTTCTTCGGGATTTAGCTTCTGAATTCCAAAGAAGCATCTGATGTTTGTACACCTTATGGATGTGAATGCCATGAATTTACTAAGTTCATGTTCATTTTAAGCCTTTTTGCTTGCTCATAAATGGAACTCATCAAATATTGCGGCTAATAATTACGTAGACATCTTTATTTTCCGTAGTTTCTTATGACCTGACGGCTTTCCAAATATAATTATAGTAATGATGAGAATTCCTAAAAGCTGAAAGTCTGTCCTGATAGCGCAAAAATATGACAAAAGGTGGGTTCCTAGAAATATAAAAAGCCTGGATTATTATTCTGTGGAGCGAACTAGATTCTGACTGATAGTGAGTGCTATGAAGTGCAGTGCAATCAGAAACTGAACAGCAGTTAAATGTGTCACATTAGTCGAGAATCATTTTCCAAATTGAGTTGTTAGAGAGCACCAGAAACCTCAAAAAATTTAGGCATCCAGTTGTACACATCTAGCACGTAGTATGTAATTACACACAGAACACACAAGACAAGATTTTTACCCATACCTTCATCGTCAGCGTCAACTTTATCCCCACCGTAGTATGAAGGCTTTTCTCTCGGTTTGCCAATTTTTACATCCTATCTTAAAGGTAAATTCCAAATTTACACTTGTTACCATTAAGCAACCGAACTATGAACGTTAATGTGAGGTTAGAACTAAAGTTAATTTTGTTATAATGAAATAATTATTTCATTGGTCCAGTCCAACCACGTTGAAGAAACTTACCAATATAAAAGGCAAGATAAGAAACACTAATGTAGTCTGAATAAGTAAAATATGGGCCATTACCTGGACTGCTTGAAGTTCACTTTAACGTCAACAAGAAACTTCTGAGCATGACATTGAGTAGCGCAAAATTTGTACGTGCTTGGAGAACTCGAGGGCACTATCAAGGTCACTTATAAATATTCTCAAGTGATTGTAAAGTGACTAGAACAAAGATTTACTCATCGAATTTCTTTATATACACTCAACAGATTGCCGATTAAACTTTTGAACGGTCTAGCTGTATAGAAATAGCATTTAAGAGTAAATAACCTTAACCTCACTTTTCTTCTCTAGTGATCACGTTGTCATGACGATTTGGCCCGGAGTCATCAGCAGAGCATAGGAAACCGATTCAAGCGTTCATTTAGAAGACTTGTCGGTATAGACTTGTTGCGAGACAGTGACATATTACGATGTATCATTTAAACTTCATTCTTAGTTGGTAACAAGTAGTTCAACAACTGACGGTAGTGCTCTATTTTCATGGATAAAATCTGTTCATGCGTTACAAACTATATATTAGTTTGTATCTTTATCCGTGGTTCCGTGGAGTTGAACCGTGAATCCAATAGAGGACAAGATTGCACGTTACTTTATAGATTTTCGTAGTCGTCTTGATTTTGGGCCTTGACTAATTTACATGGATAGTTTAAATCACTAACACAAGATACTGTTGTGTCAATATGGAGGTTTACATCATTTACTACATGAATCAACACGAACTCGTAAAGCTCCCTTCCATTTGGAAAAATGTGACATGAATGACTGTTCAGCTTAGAATATGTCTTCTCTGTTGGGCGTCAGTCTGAATTCTGTACACTTAGGTTGCTTTCTTCAGTTCATATAGACAACAACATCCATCTATGATTCCTAGACAGTAATAAAATCGGATTCGTAAAAATATCTTTAAAAACATTTGTTTATCCAAACAATCATATTTTACAAATTATCATGTTTTTGTTGAGTCACATCAGAGAACGCGTCGGTTTAAGCAAACGATAAAGGACATAAGAAAATCTGAGTAATAGGGTATAAGATTTCGGAAGGGAAATTAAATTACAACGTTAGCATTCAACGTAGTGTCATTACAGTTTAAGAAGCACCAAATACAGTTCATTTCGACAGGGGTAGTACAAAAACTAACAAACCATATACTCTTATGGCAGCTTCGATCACGGCTTTTTTGTCTGATAAGAGTGGCATTAAACTCAACAGTTACAATTTTGTGAGTCCGAAAGTTATCAAACACATATATGAAATGAAGATTGGACATATAAATTGCTACTCTTTTTTATGTTGGATAATCTGATGTAACTGTCTTCTAAGAGCAAAGCGATAAACCTACTTCCTGATCCTTTAGCCAATCAAACTCACCTGATAAACAACTAAAAAAGTATTTATCTCTAAATAAATCGGTTCTTACTCAGCAATGTTTCACCAGCTAGCCTTGCGTACATCCTTTTTATTTGTCAATACACATTATGCAAACTCAAGAAGTCATACTTCAGTTAATATCTTTCACCATAGATCCATAAATCCCATTGTATACCAAGACGACGAAACTAAAGACAAAATTCGTTGTCAATACAAGTTGATTACAGGCATACTGAAGCATGAATTTATTATTTGGATGCGCTTTTAATGGCTTCCGTTGTATGTACTTGTATTCATGCGGGTTTCAACAATCTAGCCTCAACCCTTTCGAATGGCTGAACCTGAAGAGAGACACAAATTCACGAAGGACGGTAAAATAAAAAACCCATTACCTATTGTAAACAATTTTCTGACACGCTCTTAGCTCTTTGTACCAACTGCATGTTAATTATTGCTTTTCTGAATACAGAATCACATCTTTGGATTGCTGAAATAATGATGTAGCCTAGACAGAATAATGGTATAAAATCGTCGTACAACACGTAATAACTTGTTAGAATGCATCTTTCTAGGAAACATCGAGATACAGTAATGCACCTAACAACTTGGTGGAGTGATATTCCTAGCGCCGCGTGTCTAGTCTTATCACTAATTTATTTGTTTGGGCTATAACTAAATCAAGCATTTGACTAAGGATTGGTAGTTAGTTTGGTTTAATTCCCATGCACAATAGAACCGAATAAACAGTATATAATTTCAGAACTTTTTCAATATCTTTAAAAATACGACGCATACTTACAGACCAATATGTCGAACTTTCTCAGTTTATTACTACCTAAACTAAAGTAGCACAAATTAGCCTCATGCACATAATGTAGCGCAGCCGAAAATATCACATGAATAAATAGTAAAAAATGTGACTTTAAAGGGTATACTGCATAATTTATTAAAGTTAATTCAATCTAACACCTTATCTAACCACTGAGCGAATAAAAAATTATATTACACGGAACACTATGATTACATGACGTCACGTGATATATCCTCTCTCCGCTTGTCTTTTTTCCCATTATTCTGCATCTCCATATGGATGCTGGTTTGCAAACTATTTAGGAGATAGAGCACCTGAATAATATACCAAACCTGCCATGAAGTCAGTCATGAGATTGGTCTGGTTGAATGTGGATTACAAGAGCCTTGAATACTTTGTAATGGCTTTATATTCAGTTTCGGAGACAGTGTTTGTTTTTCAAAGCAAACACTGTAAAAATGAATGTGCTATCGAAATGTCATAGTATATGGATTCAATAATAAAAATCACAATCTCGAATCGATACAGTACATAAAACTATAAGCTGTAACTCTTTTGTGTAAGCTCGCCAATGCTCTATACGGTTTGCCAAGCTTAAACAAACAGAGATAGCTTGTTGTAGTATTCCGATGGTGGGTGAAGTAGGTAGCCTATACGTCCAAAAGGTTGCTCTCAATAATAATCAACGACAAATTTTGGTAGGCTGCCACAGAGTATGCAAGAATAAATTTGGTGAGGAAAGTCATAATGCTTCTGATTGTATCACTCCACTCTTTGTTGCACAATAATGTTGGCAAGTAACCATGAATTTATAGACGCTGTACACGTCAGATTGTGTCCAGATAAAACTCAAAGACTAGACTTTGTTTCATTACGAGGGAAATATTGTGATATATTGCATGCTGGGCGTTACCATATCATTCTCTACGTAAACCTCTGTCCATTGGTTCCCAGGCTATCACAACCACTTGTTTGTGCTACTGTTGACTAATCATTCACAAATTAGCTGATAGTCCTGTTTAAATTTTAACCAGCTGATGGTGAGTGTGCATGTTATTAGGCAGGCTAGAAATACACTGATTGGCATAATGTGAAATAATGTTAAGGAATCATTATTAGTGACTACTGATGTTTTGACGGTCCTTGGAAGTTTTCTATTCCCAGAAATTGATCGTGGGCTTACCGATCACAACAAGGGTATTTTTTAATACTGCCACATCTAGACGGCTGAATTCCCAGTAAGCGTGACCACTGCGATCAGTTCAGCAGGAATTATGAATTCGAGTAAAATATCGAACCTGAAGCCGTTGTACCTTCGGTCTTGTAGATTACTGATAGATATGTCAACCCTTAAGCTTTTTGGCGGTTTTCAGTTCTGCAAGGAGGCTTAAGGATCTAAAAGTTGATTTCATACCCTCCAACACCAAGCAGGCCATAACTTTCCTGAAAGTCTCATGATGGTGGACCTAACGGGATCCCTTCATCATTTGTGAAATATGGTAATAGAGAATTTCCACTAGTTTGTTAAAAAATTTTCAACCTATCTATGGAATATGGGACCTATCCATCTGTTTTGATTTGTCAAGTTAAACGTTGTAATAAATCTGTGAAATACGAGCTTCTTCCCATCTAGTTTACATGTAATAAGTGACACTTAAATGTAGTCCAGGATATACTCGTTTTTCTTTTGTCAATGAATCTATAGAGCCGGGTCCATGTAAACATTACCAGTCGAAATATATCGGTACGCGTTTAGCCCTCTCACAAGCTGTACCAGCAATAAAGGCGCGTCATGGCAGTCGGTGAATGGACTTGCATGACACATGTCATAACCATCTCTGCGCCTCATCTCACAGTTAATGACTCGAATGTCCTATTCATTCATGCCTTATTCATTCTTTAAACGCCATAAAATTGAACTCTAAAGTTTCATTGATGTACCAGAGCAGACATCTTGACCAACAAACCTGGAAACGGACTGAAACTTTCATTCAACGTTTACCATGGGAAATTTATTTTACCACAAATAATGTCGATATTTCGCTTTCCAATCCATACCACAACCTGATATGTTGCCTTGAGTGCACTGCTCCAGTTATAGGCCATGTGGCTAATAGGGGCCAGAATGCTTGTTAAAGAAAGCTGAGGAAATTGAAACACTGATACCACGAGCATCATGACGTGTATACACTTCAGAACATACTTAACTTAATCGACAGAAATGCTTCATTTAAACGCAAATATTTTATGGATATGGGAAATAAAGCCCCACGTAGTAAAATCCCAGAATTATCAATGCTTCGGCTTTTTAAATCCCGTGTGAAGTCAAACTCCCTTGGCACGACTAAATTCCTCATAATTAACAGAAGCATTGTTGGCAACCCTAATATCATTTGCGAACAATTCAGCAAGCAATTTTCGCAATGCTACAAAACTAGAACTGAAAGCTCTATCATCACATTTCCAATGCTGACATTCCGACACCCATCGAAAATTGATTTTATACCCTCTAACATCAAGCAGACCACAGCTGCCCTGGAAACGTTTTATGATGGTGGACCTCACGGGATTCCCTCATCATTTGTGAAATATGTTAATAGAGAATTTCCACTATTTTGTTTGAAACTTTTCAACCTATTTATGGAGTATGAGACCTATCCATCTGTATGGACAACATCTCTTATAACCCCTAGATTCAAAATAAGGTCGCGTAGTGATATTTTTAATTATAGGCCAATTCATTTAACATCCGTGCTCTCAAGAACCATGGAAAAAATCATCCACAAACACTATCATCAATTTTACTTTCAGCTAGTTTGATTAGCCCATTCCAACACGGGTTTATGACTAAACGCTCGTGTTCCATATTGCACCTGTATTATTTTGATCAAATTACCCTGAGAAAAGATTTTGGTCAGTCTTTGATAATCCTTT